ATATATATATATATATATATATATATATATATATATATGCATGTATGTGAGTGCCTACTGCTGGCAGAGGTCAGAAGTAGACATTGGATCCCCTGGAAATGGAATTACACATGGTTCTGAGCTGCCATGTGAGTGCTGGTAATAGAACTCTGGTCCTCCGGAAGAGTAACCAGTGTTCTTAACTACTGTTTTATTTTATTTAAGAGACAGAGTCTCAGGATATAATCTGGGTAGACTTGGATTTTTCTATGTAGTTCCAGCTGCCCTGGAAACTCCGAGAGATCTGCCTGTCTCTGCTTCCAGAGACCACCATGCAGGACCTTAAACAGCTCCATTTTAACTGGCTATATGTAAGTACCTATGTTATGTATGCGATTTCAACCCCCTCAAGCACTTAAAGCTTAAATCACTTACATCTGACCCCCCAAGGAATAATTGCTACTCCTTCCTAGACCTCAGAGGACATAGTGACCATAGGGACTAAACAAGCTCTCAGTCCCGAGGCCAATTGCCTGGGCTTCTGCTCTAGCTTGGCTGTGAGGCTGATGCCAGGTGGCAGCAGGCCCCACACTCCTCCTGGGAGTGGGTTGGTCTCTCCAGATGCGGCTGGAATGCACCGGAGTTGTTTCTAGTCGGTGAGACTCCCATCAGAGAGCTTCTGACGCTTGGGCTGTACCCTAACGTCGTGGGCAGCCACACTGCTCACGAAGGCAGAAATGCCAAACCAGGGCGGCACAGCTCAGCAGAGCCAGAGCTGTGCCCACTCCCATGGCTGCGTAGACCAGGGTGAGAGGTCTAGGCGGCATGATAAGCTTTCCACAAGGCCCAAAGGAAGGGTCAGCCCAGTTCTCAACATCTGCTTCAGGAACATGGCTTTCACCAGCCTCGTTAGCAGCCACCACACAAAGGACGTAAGTACCTCCAGGCTTCAGTCCCTTCAGCTCTGCTCTCCGAACTGTTGCATTGAGGGGGCCACTCTTTTGTGGGACTCCGTTGCTTTCCCAAAGCAGAAGCCAGTAGTGATTGACGGGAGAGAAGGGAGCACACCAGTGGACAAGCACGCAGCCTTCCTCAGCCACAATTTGCACTTCTCCCAGCCGCGGAGGGTCTGGCTGCTCATCTTCCCTGGAGAGCCCTGGGCACAAACAGGCTACTGGCCCAACCTTCTGCAGCTCCTTGCAGGGCACCTGCAGGTGGCGGCAACGGTCATAGTCGCAAGGCACAGCCACTGAAGGTGTAGTTACTGCCTCATCGTCCTCTTCCTCATAGTCTTGGGGGGTCAAGATCTGAGCCTTAGAAACCAAGGAGGTGGTCATAGCCACAAGCCACAGAAGGTAAAAGGAGCCCAACATGGAGTCTGGAAGGGAAGGAGTGATTGGGTAAATGCTGTCAGCCGTGCCTTCCAGAAGACCTCTGGGAAAAGCACAACATGGGATGAATATGGGCAAAGGAGAGTTGGGACTGAGACAGCTGGCTTCTGAATGCGGGTTTTTTTTTGGGGGGATGGGGTGGGGTGGGGGGAGACTGGTCTGAGGCTGGTCTTCCAACTCCTGGCCCTCCTGTCTATATCCTCAAATCACTAGGATTAATAGTGTGTGTCACTAGGCCTGACTGTGCTTGGTTTGGGATAAAAATGAAATCCAGTCCCACAGATGAGAGACAGATGTTTGGGCAGCACCATGCAAAGTGCTAGAGGCCAGCAGCAAATGGATGAACAAATGTAAGTGCTAGGGGAAGAGGAGGACACAGATTTATTCATTCAGCTCAAGGAGGAAAGGTGCAAAGAATCGGTTGCTGCCCAGAGAGCTGACCTATGTAAAACAAAGCTTAGCACACACACACACACACACACACACACACACACACACACACACACACAAAACAAAAACCAACAAGACAGGAGAGAGAAGAAAAAGATGGGATAGGCATGGGAGTCCTTATTCCCTGAATTTGTGCAAATGCTCTCCCACCAATCCAGCATCCTCCCTCTTCACCCTCTTGCCGGGACCCACAGCGACCTCTCACCAGTGGGTAGGCCTTGACACAGTAAGAATCTGCCTCCAGACAACGGTGGACATCAGGCCGAGAGGTCCCTGTCACAGGCCACTGTCAGGTTGTATCTTCAAATTCTGTTTTGGCTGAGAACTTTTATATCCCTCGACTCTGATGTCACCACCTAGCCCCTGAGTGCCAAGAAGAGGGCTGGTTCCCTCAGAGGGACTGAGTCACGGGGCCAGGGAGAGGGGGAGCCACATGCAGTGCTTTCAGCTGGAGGCCAGGATGCCTGGGTTCTGACAGGAATGAAGTGTGGAAAGCAGCCAAGAACTGAGAATCCAAAGGCTGCAGTCACGTGAAGGGATGCGAGAGAATGGCCAGACGAGGGAGGGCACCTGGCTGGTACTGGACAGAAAAACATCTGTGGATGGTATGGGGCCTGAACTACAAAATGCTGTTTAGTGAAAATCCCACCACATCCATGGCAGTCATTTCCTGTCTTCTGCCTCCCAATGGACAGAGAAGGGAGGGGTATAAAGGCCAGAATGATGTGTCGCTCTCCAGACCCGCCCTACACAATCCCCCTCCCTTGGGGAGAAGAGAATCACATGGCTAGAGCAGGAAACCTTCTACTGGCCAGGATAGGGTTTCTTCCCTAGATTATGGATGGAAACAGCTGCACTGAGTGTGGTGGTACAAGCCTGAAATTTTCAGCCCTAGGGACGCTGAGGCAGAATCATTAGAAAACAGCCTGTGCTACATAGTGAGACTCTACCAAAGAAAACAAACCAAAGTCATAAAATATCTGCATAGGTGATACAAGATTGTATTTCAGTACTTGGGATGCTGCAGCAGAATTGCTAAAAGTTTGAGGTCAGCCTCTAAGAATCTGTTTCAAAAGATGTAAAAAGGATGGCTGCCTTTGGTAAGACTCAGCTGTTTGGCCTGGAGAGATGGCTCAGAGGTTAAGAGCACTGACTGCTCTTCCAGAGGTCCTGAGTTCAATTCCCAACAACCACATGGTGGCTCACAACCCTCCATACTTATCTCTAGTGCCTTCTTCTGGTGTGCAGATATATATGGAAGCAGAATGTTATATACATAATAAATAAATAACATTTAAAAAAAGATATAAAAAGGAAAGAAAACAGGCCGGGTAGTGGTGGCACATGCTTTAATCCCAGTACTCAAGAGGCAGAGACAGGCTTTGTGAGTTCAAGGCTAGTCTGGTCTACAGAGCTAGTTCCACAACAGCCAAGGTTACGAGTTCAAGGCTAGTCTGGTCTACAGAGCTAGTTCCACAACAGCCAAGGTGTTTGAAACAGAGAAACTCTGTTTCAAAAAGCAAAACAAAAAGACAAAGGGGGGGGGCTGTAACAACATTCCTGTCTCAGTAGCTGCCATATATATAGGTGTTCATCATTTCCTGACTTAGTACAAAGAAAATTTATTGAGTATAATTGGGGACATTAGATCCTAAACTACATAAATCTCCTTGGAGTGTGTAATGTTCTTAGATTATCCTTTGAAAGAAAGTAATACAGGGGCTAGAGAGATGGCTCAGTGGCTAAGAGTACTGGCTGCTTTTCCTGGAAGATCTAGGTCTAAATCCTACCGCCTGGCCGGGCGGTGGTGGTGCACGCCTTGAGTCCCAGCACTCGGAAGGCAGAGGCAGGTGAATCTCTGTGAGTTCGAGACCAGCCTGGTCTACAAGAGCTAGTTCCAGGACAGACTCCAAAGCTACACAGTGAAACCCTGTCACAAAAAAACCCGAAAAATAAAAAAAATAAAAAGGAAACATACTGAGTGTTATAATCCAGGCAAACCTGGCCCCACCCCTCTGTGCAAGGCAGGTGTATATATACCCAGGCCCTTTAATTGGAAAACTCCACCCATTTCTGCTCTCTCTTTCTCATTGTTCTGCTGAAGGGACGATAGGACTTTTCCTGTCTCTCTCCCTCTCTTTCTCCTCTCCCTTCCCTTTCCTCCAATAAAACTTCCCACTCAAGCTCTGTCTGCCTATCTGTCTGTCTGCCACCTCTCGAGTACCATTTTATAACACTGCGGGCTGAAGAGATGTCTCAGCAGTGCTTGCTGCTCTTACAGAGATTGAAGTTCAGTTCCTGGCACTCATGGGAGGCTCAGCCATCTATGACTCCAGTCCCAGGGGATCTCACACCCTCTTCTGGTCTCTGAATTAGCAACATACATGTCCATACACACAGAGAAGCACACACATACACACAGAAACAATAAAGCTGGGCGGTGGTGGCACATGTCCTTAATCCCAGCACTCAGGAGGCAGAGGCAGGCGAATCTCTGTTGAGTTTGAGGCCAACCTGGTCTACAGAGTGAATTCTAGAACAGCCAGAGCTAAACAGACAGATCCTGTTTTGGAAAACCAAAACCAAATAAAGAAATGGATGCTCAGGGCTGGAATGATGGCTTAGTGCTTAAGAGAGCATCCTGGCAGGGCGTTGGTGGCACACTCCTTTATTCCCAGCACTCAGGAGCAGAGGCAGGTGGATCTCTGAGTTAGAGGCCAGCCCGGTCTACAGAGTGAATTCCAGGACAGCCTCCAAAGTCACAGAGAAAGCCTGTGTCAAGAGAGAGAGCGAGCCTCCTGATCTTACAGAAGACCTGGGTTTAGCTCCCGGAATCAACACGGTAGCTCACAACTGTCTGTAGCTCCAATTACAGGGAATCTGACATTGAATCAGACCTCATGGGTCCCTGCACACATGTGGTGCTCATGTAGTTTATGTAGGTTCATTCACATAACAAAACAAAACCTTCGATGAGCCGAGCTTGATTCCCCAGAACCTGTATGGTGGAAGGAGAGAACTGACCCCTGAAATTTGTCCTTTGACCTTCACAAAAGCACCTGGCACAAAATAGTTTATTAAAGGAACAACAAGGGGAGAAGGGTCAGATGGGAAAGTGCTGGAATGTGAGGCATCTTTTTGTTCAGGAACTGGAGCATGTTGGACGCTGCCTGATGGTGCCCAGAGAAGGCTCACGGCTACCCAGAGTCTCAGGGGTAAGGGCAGAGGTAGAGGTAGAGGTAGAGGCAGAAGTAGGCAGGTTGGCCTTTGTTAGCAAAGCTGCATCTTCCCAGGAGCCTGAACCAGAGCCAGGAAAGGGCCAAACAAAATTGTGAATGAGACAGGTTAACATGGATGGCGTGGCATTCCCACCCACACTTCACTCCATTACAGGGTGCCCTCACCATCACTGGCCTCCCGCTCTTGCTCCTCCTCTCCATTCAGGGGCTGACGTGGTGGTTTCTCTTCCTCAGACCGCTTGCCCTCTTCAGCCAAAAGGGAAACAGAGGTGTGACATGTAGGCACTGAAGGGAAATGCTGTGGACGAGCCAGGAAAAGGGACTGCATACCTGTCCCTGGGCGATCTTCAGGGCTTTCACCATCCTCTGTCACGTCTGACTGCTGCGTAGACTCCTGGCCTTCAGGTCCGGTAAACAGAGGACAGGTAGGCTCAGTGGTTATGCTTGGCTTGCAGTTCAACTCCACCTCCTTCAGCCTTTCCTTACACTCTCAGTTTCAGAGTGATGTATCTCTATACTCGAGGCAGGCAGCCCCTCTCACCCGACCAAACTACCTCTTAAAGACACTGTCAACCAACTCCTTTACCTGGCTGATGGCGAGAGGTCCGATGCTGGGTACCCTGTCGAGAGCTATCCCTTTGTCGGATATTAACCTGTGGAGGAGTAACCACCGAGCAGTGAAGCCGGCCTTCCCTGTGCAGTAACCATGCCCTACTCCTAACATGCCCCTGATCGCCAGCAAGGACCACCAAGGAAGAAAAGCAGGGTCTTTGCCCCTGAGACCTGCAAAGAGAAGCGGTGTTGGGGCCAGATGCCCCCCCACACCCACTGCATATAGCTGAAGAGCACGATGACGCTGAGGAATGTGAAGTTGCTGGCGACACCCACAAAGGCGCAGGTCATAGGGAAGTTGTACAGCAGGTACCTGAGGTGGGGACAGGGCCAGGAAGAAAGCAGCAGTTACCAGACAGCACTACCCTCTATCACTGCAGAAATATTTGTAGGACAACTTGAGGGAGCTTGGCTGCAGCTGTCCTCTGCCACTATGGCACCCACTCCCCAGTCCAATGACCAGATCACACGGCACCAGGTTCTAATGAAGGCCAAGGACTTTAGGTAGCCTCAGTATCACAGGGCCACAGCATTATACTGGCTTCAACTGTGACCTCTCTTGTCACTCCAACTCTTGCTGAGCCAATGGAACAAGGCAGTTAGATTACATTTTTTTTTTAATAGTTTTGTAATTAGGGCTGGGTGGGTGGTGATCTATGTGGACCTCACTATGTTGCCTGAGTAGCAGGGACTAGACACAGAACACTGCATCTGGCTCATAGGATCCTTTAATTTTCTTTTCATTATTTATGTTGAGAGTCTTGCTTTGTAGCGAGAGATTTCTTGCCTTCGGCCTCCCAGTGCCGTAATGACAGGGTGTGTCATCTCATGTGGGATTTTAAAAGATGGGGCTGCAGAGTTGGCTCAATGGTTAAGAGGACTTGCTATTCTTGGAAAGGATCCAGGTTCAATTCCTAGCGCCCACATGGAAACTCCCAGCTCCTTAGGAACCAGGCACACATGTGGTACACATGCACACACACACACGGTACAGGCACACATGCAGGCAAAGCACTCATATGCACAAAATAAAATAAATTTAAAAAATTGTTTGTTTCTGAGACAGGGTTTCTCTGTGTAGCCCTGGCTGTCCCAACTCACTCTGTAGAACAGGCTGTCCTGGAACTCGCTCTGGAGACCAGGCTGGCCTCAAACTTAGAAAGATCTGCCTGCCTCTGCCTCCCAAGTGCTGGGATTAAAGGTATACCCCACCACCGGCCAGCTAAGAAGCTATTTTAAAAGCCAATCCACACAGTCAAACTAGGGAGGAGAGAGCCTCTGGCCTTTGTGAAATATGATGATGTGCTACGAGTCATCTCTGCCTGGAACTCTCTTCCTTTTGGGGGCAGGTCATAGGAAAGCTGCCAGGGTTTCCTTCCGTGGCTTCTTACCTGAGCCCAGTGAAGTGGGCATGGATTCGGAGGTAAGCTCCATACAGCTGGATGCGCTTGCTGTGGATCTCAATAACTGCTCCAGTTGTTGGCACATACTGCATGGGGAGGGGAGAGGAGAGGGCAGAGTCAGGCTGGGCTCCTGCTGCTCTCGCTACGTCCGGCATTTGTGGCTATTGCAGGTGGCTGCTCATGGGCTTCTCAGGTACAATCTTGGGCCAACTAGAGGGCTGTCTCCTACCCCATCACCCCACTTACCGAATTCTCCCTATAGTCCGAGTAGACTTCTACCTCCAGGAGCTGCTTCTGCTCAGCAAAGCCAAACAGCAGGAGGCTGGAGAACACCAGTGTGTCAAGCATCTGGAGCAGCTGGGAGCGGTAATGCAGCATCACCTGACAGGACCATAATGGCTGCTTGGGGACAGGTGTTTTCTGCACCATGCTTGAGCACTCCATGTATTCCATAAGCTCATTCTGGGCCCCCTGTTGCTTTACCTTCCTTTCCTAACCCCCAGTCCTCACCCAGCCATTCCACCTGTTTCAGTAATGTCTCCCTGCTACCCTCATTTCTCCATTCTAAGTCACTCAAGTCCCCTTCTCTAAAAAACCTGCCTCAGGTAAGCAGTCTGCTCTCATGTACCTTTCCCCTGTAGTCTGCTGTCTGGTTTGGGATCCATGTCCCACCCCTGAAGCTGCCCTTGAATGCAGACATTCATAATGTGGTTTTAAATGGGGTCCAGTGCTGAATGTGTGTCCGATACGTGTTTCTAAGAACCCTGCATTTCTTCCTAGTCTAAGAGGAAGGTTACCATAAAACTCTAGCAATGAAGCCACTTCTCTCAAAGCTGGTGTGTTTCTGGTGTCTACTTGTTCTGAGAACAGCTCAACTCTTTAGACTACTCTAGGTGTTTGGCAAATGTTTGACTTGTTAATCCGATTCTTCACTTGTCCTGGTTGGGGCCTGATCTCAGAGCCCAGGAAGTCTTCTCTGGAAGTACTAGCCATACCTACTGATTCTCCCACCATTGTGCACTACTTCCTGGATTATCTTCAAGCACTTACTGAGCGTGAAGAAGTAGAGATGATTCGGCCACCTCTGGTATAGCATGAAACAGTGACTAAGAACATGCCCAAGTCTTGATTCACGGGGGATTCTGGCATTTCAAGCTCTAGGGTGACTCGATATGGCTGTCCATACATCAGCACCTGCCCAAGGTAACAACACCCATTTTCTTTAAAAAAATTTTGTGGTGTTTTGAGATGGGGTCTCACTGCATAGCTCTGTCTGGTCTGGAACTCACTCTGTAACCCAGGCTGCCCTCAAATTCAGAGATTTGACTGCCTCTGCCTCACCAGTACTGGGATAAAAGGTGTGCACCACCACTGCCAGCTACCTGGCTTGTTTTAGTCACTTAAAAAAAAAAAAAAAAAAAAGTAATCCTGACTCAGTGCTGCCTCCTCCTGGTCGCTGGACACCTTGGTTTCCAGACTTCTATCTTGTTTGCTGGTTTTGGGGGTGAGGGTTGTCAGGTAGGGAACCCCGTATATTTTGTTTTTTTGTGTGTTTTGCTTTTTCAGGACAGGGTTTCTCTGTGTAGCTCTGGCTGTCCTGGAACTAGCTCTTGTAGACCAGTCTGGCCTTGAACTCACAGAGATCTACCTGTTTCTGCCTCCATAGTGCTGGGAATAAAGGGGTGTGCCACCACTGCCCAGCTGGGAACCCTGTTTTAAGACAGGGCCTTTCTATGTATCTCTGACTGGCTTAGCACTTACTATATAGCCTTGATTCATTGAACTTCTCCTGCCTCGGCAACTGGTACTGAAATTTTGGGCATGAACCACCACACTCACCCAGTTAGCTCCTAGGTCTGAGTCAGAGTACTAAGTTATTCTGAAAAGATCCCTGTTGCATTTCTTTTACAAAAGTGAACAGTCACATTGCCAACTGGGCCATCTGTGATTCAGGCCTGTGTGCTGCTGGAGTTGTCCCCCTGGGCCCAGCCTGCCCTCACTTACTAATTAAGCAAGTGCTGCTCTGCCTCCCTAGCCAGCTCTTACACAATCACGATAGTGGCAGCTCATCTTGTTATCCAGAGTAATTTAGTTAAAAAAATTAAATTTATCTATTTGTGTCGTCTGTGTGTGTACAACACTGAATTACTAAAAACGATACAACTCCTGGCATGGCAGTACATGTTTTTAATCCCAGAATCCAGGAGGCTAGAGGCAGG